AGAAATGTGAGGCGGCTGGACAAGAATTCCTACTGCCATAACATCAGTTATTGCTAAGAAGGCCAGTCCTATGTTGGACAGACTTTGCAGTCGCGCCTTCATCTTCACGGCCATCACTACCAGAACGTTCAACACGATGGTGAATGGACAGGCCATCGCGAGAATGAATATATTGAAGACGATAACGCTGTACGTTTATGCGGAAAAGTGCTCTGGTACTCCACCAATGAAATGGTGCAAGTCACATTTTAAGGGGCTTGTATTCCGGCTTGAGTTCATGGCAGACGGTTTCTTCGGTTTTATCGCCAATCTTCCCTTTTTTGCGAGAGGTAAACTCAGTCTGTGTGCTGTGCAGTCTGTTATCTCTTTTCAATAATGTAATGTGAACTAAGTTTGGTTTTCACATGTATTCAAATGGCTATATGTGCGTTGTTCGTACTTTTGGTGGGCTTGTGTCTTTTCCTGTTCATTATTTTGAAACACCTTTAATTATGGACCTTTATGTTCTCTTAAAACATTAATAAAAGAGCAACTTTTATGCAACCTTTCCTGGATGGTTAATTTACAGAAAGTGTGTAGGTGTATCTGAATAAAATAATTCCGGACTGAAACACCACTCGTCTTACCTGACTTAGCAGATTAAGTCGTGAGAAACAAGATATTTTAAATAATTTTGTACAGTGGTTTCCCTCGTCAAGTGAAATCCCACGTTTTTTGACAAAAAATAATCGCTGATGATTTTAAGTTGGATATCGCGTCGTAAATTGGGCAAATCTGTTACAAGAAACAAGGTGAAACGGAACAATAAATGCAATAATCTGTAGTGAATGTACCGTTAAATCAAATTAAAATTTTGCTAGCCTGCCATTTTGCAACTGACGACCAGCAAAACGCTTCGAGACGTCGCTTTTAGACTAAAACCTAAAAATTCCCATCAAGACGCAATTTTAATTTCATTTGTTTATATCTCACGATAAGAGGAAAATGTTTTTAAAAACTCTACTACTTATCCATTGTTTCATAATTTCTCTATATGCGTGAGAGTTTTTTTAAAAGGGGAGATTTTTTAACATGATGTTCTGCCGACTCAATGAATTCCTGCAGCGGTTACCATTTATTGATTTGTAATTAGAGTTTCATCTCTGATTCATTGTTTTATCCCTTCAACGTTTATTTTGATGACTTTTTTTCTTGCTTAAAATGATAAGAACACTACGGAAGTATGTTACAAGAGTTATATGTTTGGTTTTTACAAACAGGCGCTGTTTGTGAGAAGTAAGGTTTATGATATTAATAACGTGATATATTTCATGTCCTTTGTATAGGTGATCATAAGGTTTCGAGTTCAATTGGGAATTAATTTGCACGAGTGAGTTTTTAAAAACACTGAAATTGCACTCGCCGCTTTTTAAAAAAAACTCACAAGTGCTAATTAATTCCAAATTGAACGAGAAAACCGAATGATTACTTATTAATAATATAAACATGAAAAAAACAAAAAAAAAAATCGCGTGGAGGAAATACAGAAGATCTTTCTTGAAGCCACTTTTTCTCGTTCGAGAACTTTTTTCAAAGCTTCCGCACTAAGTTTTCGTCATCATTTTACGTGATATCATTGGCTTAGAAAATTCCCTATTGTCTTTCAGCCAATCATAATCTAGAATTACGATATGTAATTTGCACTGGTGTTACACTTTTTGCACTGGTGTTACACCTGAACTGCACTGCTCTCAGCCAATCAGAATCGAGTAATTCATGTATATTACTATGGTCGAAAAGGATTTGGCGATGAATGAAACTTTGCATGCTAAAAGTAGTGGAAGAAAAGCTAAATGTTGTTAAAAAATAAAACAGTTTTAATATGTGTTCTTGATAAATAAGTCCGTGAATTTTTTTAGATGTTATATTCCCTCAACACAATTTGTTGCTTTTATGGTTTACGGAGTTTAAGAGGATCGAAACTTCTCACGGTTTTGAGGCTTGTATCGGGCAACTTTACAAAGTCAACAGCAGGCCAATTTGATTTAGGAAAGAAAAAATAAAAGTAAAACATTTGAGTTACAAAAATTATGTTGAGATTTTGAAAAAGAAATGACGCTAAGATTTTTGGCACAAGACAGCATTCTATGTTTCATACAATCGAATTTTAATAGAACTTAAGTTCAATTTCCCGTTTTGGCTTAACATAATGTATGGGCTAGTAAAATTTTGAAATGCGTTGGCCTTATTAAACATGAATTAAAACTGGGAAAGTGGAATAATAATTTAGCCAATGTCGTACAATATGAATAATTTTTCGCTATACAATTATGACAAATTAAATTCAACACTCAAACTATTTGGAATGGAATCGCAAGTTTAATAAATTTATTCATAAAATCTACAAAAATGATTACTAACGGCATCACCACGAAAGCACTTATTGTCTAAAATTTAGGATTCGAAAAAAAAATTGCCAAGCCGGGTAACGAAACTGTGAAAACGAGTCTGAAAGA